AAGAAGCAATTCTAGTATGCCTCCTAAAATATTAAATTTTGTTAACCAGTTTATAGCTTAATATTTACATGAGAGCACAACTAGAAATGTTCTCAAAAAGAAAGTTCAAATGTTTTAAAAAATTAAGTATTTTCACTGCTAATCCTAAAATCCAGAGCTTTTTAAAAAAATTGCATTTGAAAAAGGCCATTTCAATTTGTATACATGACATATGAATGAAAGCGAATTGGATTTTGAAATTATATCCTAAAAATGTAAATCAATTACAAATAAGGGAATTCCCTTTGTGATCTAGGAAATATGAATTCATAAATTTCAACATCCACACATGAGAGAATACCATTATTTTACAAGTGGAGAAACTCAACTGTCAATTTTTTTTTTTTGGTTAGGCAATAGGCTTAAGTGACTTGCCCAGGGTCACACAGCTAGTAAGTATTATGTGTCTGAGGCCGGATTTGAACTCAGGTCCTCCTGAATCCAGGGCCGGTGCTCTATCCACTGTGCCACCTAGCTGCTCCCCTTAAACTATCAATTTTTAAAAGTACCTGATAGCATGCTTGATAATTTTATTAATACCTGGTGGCAAAGGATGGACACCAGCTTGCCTCCATTACTTTAATGGCCTATTTAGGACTAGAGAGGTGAAGGTGACCTCTTGAGATTCTACCTAGTTCTAAGATTCTAATGTTTGTATGTCTTCATTTTACTAGGCATAGTTATTAATGGCAAAGAGGTAAAGCAGTAAGAAACAAAAGATAACCCAGTCTACTACCAGTCTTCTTTCAACCTCTAGATCTCAAAATAGAATTAAATTATATATTTTTCTATTATACTAGAAGGGATCTCAATTTGGAGTAAATATCAAGCAATTTTCTTTTAGATGGTTGTGATTATCCTTTTTTTTTTTTATCACATAACTGTCTTTTGCTTGGAGAACTTCCTATGCTCTATTGTACACTAATGAAGTAAAATCTCATTAATCTAAACAAATTAGGAGGAAGGCTAATTTGAACTAGTCCCATTTTAAAGACATTGAAGGTGCAGTTGAAATAGATGGAATTTGGAGTCAGAGGACTTGGGCTTGAATCCCTGCATGGCTGTTTATTACCTGTTGTGAATTTAGGAAAATCACAATTTCTCTGGGCCTGAGTTTCTTCACTTTTAAGATGTGGGTAGGCTAAATGATCTCTGATGGTCCTGTTAGCTACAAATCCAAAGAGACTGATAAAACTGAGGTTCAAAGAAGTTAAGAGATTGGTCCATAGTTATATAGCTAGGAAGATCCTAGTTAAGAGCTGAAACTCAGTCTCCTAAGTCTACCATTACATTATCCATATTTTCTAAAAACATGGAAATTATTTTTTTCTAGCACCTACCTAAAACCAAAAGTTAACAAAGTGCAGCAGAAGGCTCAGATTTAATGAATAGCTCATTTGTATTCAGCATTGTTTGGTATGCAAATTGTACTTGTTAAAACCTTGAAAACTATTCTTTTAAAAAGGTTAAACATTTTCCTCTCAAAGTTGATTTATGTTCTGCAAATCCTTTCATAGACAGCATAAACACTAAACTTTTGCTCAGTCTTCAATTTATCTACTTATCGGATTCCTAACCAATTAGATTTTACTTTTTAAAGACTAGAAGTAATGGCTGACTAGGCCTATGATAAATAGAACTTTTCCTTTCATAAATGTCTTTAGCCTTTTTAAAAATGAAATTGTCTTCCCAATAAAATTTGAGTTAAATAAAACAAATGTAATAGACATTTTCCTATAATAGCTGAACAAGGTTGTTAATATAAACTGGTTAGCTAAGCAATGTTACTTTTATTTCCTCATTGTCTTCAACTCAGGCTAAGGGGAAAGTCAGCAAATTCAGCTTTTAAAAAAATAAGAACCTATTATCAATAATAATCTCATAAAAGTACTTACTTATTCATTGGCTATCAGGCTACACTAAAGTTAGAGTCAAAACTGCCCTGTGGATACTCAAACGTTAACAAGGCAAAGATGTTTTTACAAACATCTACAAGAAGATACAGTACTTTAACAAAGGAGGCCATAGGAAGGAAAATTCAACAAACAGCAGAAGTTAGGTAAAGCAACTTTCAGAAAGGTTTTCTCCAATATGTGAAATTCTTTAAAAGCTTTTCAATTACCAAGTGTTATCTTTTCTTTACAGATAGAAAATATGAGAAAAAGTGGATTACTTCACTCAAACACTTTGGGCTGCTGAAAAAATCCAGACTTTCATAGTTTGAAACTACACCACTACAACCACTCTGGTCTTTTAATGAATCTTTTGGGCAACAATAATGTGGCATACAAACTAGGCAGCCACTCCAGGCACCTAAAACAGAAAAACAATGAATTCTCCTTAGAAACTAAGCTACCAAAACCAGATTTGTGGCACTATGATATTCAAAACACAACTTGGTGGTTAATATATCATAAAAAGGCAGAGTGAATAAAAGCCTTGAATTTAAAAAAAAACTAGATTTGTCCAAACATTTTATGCATGACAATTTTTAAAATGTTAAAGCTTGGATTGAAATATGAACTATGTTTTTTTAAATAGTTTTTAATTAGCCATTTTTATAACATCCATCTCATCTTAGAAAACTTTTTATTAATAATTTTAAACAGCTACAGCTCATTTTAGGACAACATATTTAGAGTTGGAAAGAACTTTAGAAGAGTATTTTTTTTGCTCTGTAGTTCTCAATTTACTACACTAGCGACAATATTTCAGTTCTGCACAGTTTGCCCTGACATGGATATGGCAAGTTCTTAGGGGGCTCCACACTTGTAAATTCATTGGTGCAGAAACTCCTTTGGTGTTAATCATCAATTCCATAACTGATAAATTTAGAGAGACACCTGGGGGCACTAAGAGGTGAGGCGACTTGATCAGGTTCATAGTTCTACAAAGTGTCAAACAGAAGAACTGGCAGCTAGGTCTTCCAGGCTCCAGGGTTCACTATCCAGAAAGGCACCTATCTACATAACAACCTAAGTACTCAGGATAAACCATTCAAGAGCTTTGGGGAGTAGATTTCATATTCAGGTTCAGTAGAGATTACCTAGATTTTAAAAATATGAGTTTCTTCTCACATAAATTATTTGGGAAATGAAAAACAAAGTTTCTTCTTCCCTCTCCGGGGGGGGGGGAGTCTATACTGAGTCGGCTTTAGAAGGCAATATCCCAGCCCTAAGAATCCATTATGTCATGTTCATCCTTGAAGCAATAGAGTTTTAAAACCTTTTATACTGAAGTTTACATTGTTATTGTTTAAAACACATATAGCTAGTACCTTAAGAGTTCATCTAATCTAGCTCAACTTTATTCAAACAAAATCATCAGGAATACACATTTACTGAATTATGTCAGTGTGGAACACACTAAACTCTTTATTCATGTATTGAGCCACCATTTGCATGGCATTCACCACATACTGTCTTCTGTGATAGTTACTTGTTAACATATTTCTCATTTCTAGGAGTATAAACTGCTGGAGGCCAAGTAACATGAAAACGATTTTTGTACCAGTCCCAAGCAGTAATATTTATGTGGCATTTGATCACAGCCAAACAGCTATGGCCATCCTCATTTTACACAGGGGGTGGAGTTACAGTCCACCTCCATTCTAAATCTGGTGCTCTTTCCACTAAGATACACAGCCCAGTCTTTCGGTTTAGTGGAAAGACCAGTGGTTTAGGAGTCTGACGACCTGGGTTCTAGCCCCAGTTCTGCCACTTGTTATATGACACTGGTCAAATTACTTAAGAAGCTCTCTGAGCTTGTTTCCTCATCTGTAAAATGGGGACACCTACTTCACAGGGTGGCTGTGAAAATCAACTGAGGACGCCTGTGAAAGTATACCATAACTGTCCAATATTATACGAATGCAGGGTAATAATAAACATCTGCTGATTAAAATAATCATATGTTTGTTGTTGAAGAAAATATCTAAAATAGGGGGCTTGTGGCATGCCACATATCATGACATATAAATTGATTTTTTTTTTAACTTCAAAGCCTTCTCCCAAATTGGGGGTGGGTTACAGGAAGCAGTTTAACTACAGTTGGGATAATAGGTTGAACTCGTCTAATAAGGAACCAGAAGCAGGATTCCGGCTCCCCCCCCCGGGTGATTCACGAAAGGGTTAAGCCCTTCCAGTCTCGCTTATTGGGGGCAGGAGCTGGGAGAGCAGCACTGAGGAGGAAGAGAGGGAGGAGGTGGAAGAACAGCTGCTCTTCCTAGGTCTTCAGCGCAGGTCAAAGCCTAGCAAGGTCTGAACGGGCTGACAACTATACAAAGTTGCCTTCTGCCCTGGGATACTTAGCGAGATACGTGGACTTGGGTGACAGTTGTCCCAGTGCGGAGTCGCCCAGATTCTTGCAGCTCTAACCTTAGGTATTGGCGATGGGGGGTTCAGGTAGTTTACAGTAAACAAAGTCAGGAGCAAGGCGTCACTTTCTAAGGGAGCTGCACAATTATTGCGGGGAGAAAAATCCCAAGAAGCCACTGCTTTAACAGGTAGAGAGCTGGGGTGAGGATGGGGGGAAGGGGTCCCCGACTTGTCGCAGGGCTCCCGAGGGAACCGGGAGCTCAGTCCCAGGCGCAGGGGGGGGTCCTTCGCCCACCCACGTGGGGCGGGGGGGGCGTTCAACGCCTCAGGGCACGCTGCCGTCTCCCTCCCTCCTTCAGGATTTGGGGCCCCTTTCCCGCACAGACGCTAACTTGGTTTTCGGTGTCACGGACTTTTCGTCCTGATCGGGTGACAGACCGCGGGGAGAGCGCCCCCAGACCCCAGAGGTCCCGGGAGCCGCGGCCTGGCTTTCTTCTCCAGACCTCGGAAGAGAGCGGCCGCCAAGGGCGGGGGTCAGGGGCGGGGTCAGGGGCGGGCTACCTCGCCCCAGCCCACCCCACCCAAGCGACAGACCCACCTCGGCCCCGCTGGACCGGCTTACACCGGCTGCTCCCGCCCTCTTACCTGCCTTGGGCTTCACCCCCCGGGACGCACCTCCGTTTTGGCTCGTGCCAAACCTTCCTCCCCCCCACCCCCCAACCAGCAGTTAAGGTAGCACCGGCTGCCCGTAAAGCGCGTGGAGCCGTCGCAAACCCAAGTCCGTCTCCTTTTCTACCCGTCCCGTCTTTGCGACATCGTGCTTGCAGGGAGAAAGTCTGGCGTCATTAAAAGTCGTAGTAACAGATCAAAAAAAAAAAAAACGTGGATTGGAGGCGGGGAGTGTTCCACGCAAGCGCGCCATTCGGAGAGGGGGAGAGGGCAGGGCGTGTTTTGGGAGTCTAGGGGCCTGGCGAAAAGGGGCGTGGGAGGGGTGCGCGTGCCTGTCGCGGAGCCCCGGAGGGAGGGGCAGAGGAGGGAAGGCGCGGGTGCGCGCGGTGACCGGCTAGCAAAGAGGCGGGGGCGCGGACTGAGTCGAGAGCGGAGGACCGCGTAGAGAAGGCGGCGGGGCGGTTACCGGCGCCGGAGTCAGGGAGCCTAGGAACGGCGGCGACGGCTGCGGCGGCGGGAGCTGGGGGTGCGGAGAGCCTCGCGGCAGGGATGAGTCCGGCGCGGGTGGAGTCGGGCTGACAGGGCGGCGGACGCAGGGGATGCGCGGCGGCGGCCAGACCGTCCTGCTTCATCCCTGCCAGAGCCCGAGTCCCGCCGCCTCGGCCCCGGCCCTAGACCCCGGCCCGGAGTCACTCGGTGGAGGCCTCGCCCGTCCTGGTCTAGGGGCTCCAGCCGAAGAGGCGGCGGCGGCGGCGGACCCTGCGACGACTCGGAGGTAAGAGCCGCCCGCGGGGCCAGCCTGCCCACGTCTTCTTCTCTCTCCCGCGGTGGGGCGGCTCGGCCCGCGCCCCGCCCGGCCGCCCCGTCCCAGCCTGCGGTTGTGACCGTTGGTCCGGCCTCGGAAGTCGCGGGGGCTCCGGGAGGGGGCGTGTCTGGGCCGCTCGGGGAGGCCGAGGCAGGGCTCCCGCCGGGCCGCCCCGAGCCGCGGGCGGGGAGGGGGCTGCGGCTCGCCGAGCAGAGCTTGGGCGTGCCGGCCTCGCCCCCTGGGCGCGGGCCGGCCTCCTCCAAGGTCATCCGGCGGCCCCCCCGCTTCATTTCGGTCTGCCAGTCGGCGTGACAGCTCGGGGTCGGTGGGGACAGCCGCGGGCCGGGCCGGCGGTGTGGGTCGCCGCGGCCCCCGAAGAAGCCAGCCCTGATGTCACCGAGATCTACACCCAGATTCACCTGCTGCGGGGAAGGGTTTGCAGTAGAGCTGCCTGGGCACGTGGGGCGTCGTCTATTTATGTGTATGTTGACTAATTTATTAAACGGCGTCCTAGTGGGATGGAAGCAGCGGTTTTTCTGCGGGCTCTTTAGGTATCGATTTTAGGTGCTTTGGAAAATGAGCGTTGTAGCTGTGTTCAAGTCCCCAATATTTAAAGTTAAAATAGTAGTCATTTCGGGGGGCCACTGCTGCTCCTTCTGATGTCTGATTTTTCTCAGAGGAGCAAGTACAAAATGCTGCACTGATGTCATTAGTAACAAATCTGGCTGCTGTAAAGCCATTCCACACCAGAAAATGCTCCCTTTGCTGAAGCTTTGTTAATTAATAATGTTTGAACTTTCAAGAGGTTAATGCATTCATTTAGATCCAATGGCCCAGTTTAGAATTTACCTCTCAAGGTAAATTGGAAGCAATAACTCGTTCATCTGAGAGAACTTTATCATAAGTACTATTGTACAATAGGAAAAAAACAAAAAGACTTTCCTCCTGTTGTTAAGGTTCTTTGTGTTACATAGTTAGGCAGAGTAAAATGGCATGCTTTTATTCCAGGTTTATTGACAGTTATGTTTCCTTTTTTCAGTAGTGGTTGTATCATGAAAACATTGTCTTGATGTTTGTTATAGTTTAGAAACTCAAGAATATGATGTAATTTAGAGAGCGAAATTAATCACCGAATTGTACTACTAGCCAGTGTGACAGCTGGACTGGATGACATCAAGAGTCTTTTTTAGGTTTAATTCTGCTCCATGTTCCTACGCGATTTGGTGTCGTGTTAATATTTTAGCAATAACATTAGAATAAGCATATTCTGCTTTTTTGATGGCTTTCCTTTTTAAAATAAATAAATAAATTCATACGTTGAACATTTCTAACTAACTGGAATCTGAAAAATCTATAGTCCAAGTTATTTTTCAGTGATAGTCTCAGGTGAAAAAAAAATCTATGCTGTTACTCTAATCTTTCTAGATTTTTCGTCTTCGGGAAAAGACAAATTCCAGTGCTGCTTGGCATGAAGGGAAAACATACTCTTTAAATTGTCATGTATTGTTTAAATTATGCAGTCTTTATAGTATCTTGCTACCCTTATCGTTGATATTCGGCTATAGATAATGCTTTCCTTTCTCTTTAGAGTTACCTAATGTTTGGTATTTATCTGAGGCTTGTAAATTACAGATTGTGGCCAAAAAAGGTAATTTTGGCTCTTTGACATTTATGTATACATTGTACAAGTGTGATTTTTGAGTAGTTTTTTTTATTGATATTAGATTGAACTTCGATGTCATCAATGAATGTATGATTAAGAAATATAAAATGAGATCTAGGGATAACTGTTGTACTGGCCACGTGCTCCAAAGATATCTTTATTCTGTCAAGATAAGGCAAAGAAGGCTTCCTAGTCAATTGGATGGGTCCTTTTTTGTAAAACTTATTTGAAAGACGTGGACAAGAATTCACACAAGATAGGTATGACTGGGTGGTGATCTGCAATATTGTAGGAAACGTCCACATCGGTGATGTCTATTACTGGAGAGAGAGAGAGAGAGAGAGAGAGAGAGAGACAGAGAGAGAGAGAGAGAGACAGAGAGAGAGCGCGCGCGCGCGAGAGCGAGCGAGCGAGAGCGAGCGCTCTCACTCTGGCTCTCTTTTTCTCTCCCTGTCTTTCTGTGTGTGTCTCTCTCCCTCCATATATACATATACATATATATATAGTTACATACATTAATTTAAGTAAATTGAACTAGAACTAGCAAGACAATAAATAGAAAGGTCAGTTTAGAAAAGGTGTTTTGAAAACTTGCCAACATTGTATGAAATTAATTTTTAAAATGGGTATTAAAACTTTTTATTTAGAAAAATAGCAATTGATATTTTACATTTTTGTTTATGATTTTGTAGTATTAACTGAGGAATTCTGAGGTAATATTAGGAACAGGATGATTTGCCTCCTTCTGTCTTCCCTTTTCTCCTCCCATATGATATCTTTTATATGATAAGGCTTTTCTTCATACTAGAAGAAATGTTAATTTGTTCATCGAAAGCTTGGAATATGTAGATTGCAGGGACCTTGGCAAGATCGTGTGTATGTGTCTGTGTGTGTGTGTGTAAAAGTAGCTCTTTACTATGCTGTATTTGCCTGTGGGGAATTTTGAAGTACTTTAGAATCTTACAGCATGTTATACATTTTGGCTGATGAATAATAAGAAAATATGTGGACATTAGTGCTGTTTAATTCTTAATGAAGGGAAATGATCGTCTGGGTCTTGTGTATTTTTTTTTTAAGTGAGGAATCTGGTAGAAATTAGTAATACAAAGTCTTCCTGTATCATTTCTCTTCCTTTTAGAATCTGTTCAATCTCTAATAGTATATTTGAGAGAGATTTCATAAATTTTGAAGAAAATTTGTGTACTCTTTAGCCCTTAAAATGAACAGTTTAAAATAATTCTAAAAACACATTAGTACTGTCATGTATTTTTGGAACACTAATTTCTGAGGAGTTAAATAGAGGGAGAGACATTTGGTCAACATGTCACTCTGAAGTCTGAGACTTGAGTTGGAATCTCTTCCTGTACCACCTTTGTTGGATTATAGATTTAGAACTGACAGGAAACTCAAATAATTAGTCTCTGAGCCTCAATTTCCTCATCTTCATGAGTTCACTCAGACAGTAGCTGGGTGACCCTGGGCAAGTTACTTAACCTTTTTTGCCTCAGTTTCCTCATCTGTAAAAGGATCTGGAGAAGGAAATGGTAAATCATTCTAGTATCTTTGCCATGAAAACCGCAAATGGGATCACAGAGAGTCAGACATGACTGAAATGACACCACCACCATAGCAACATAATGGCTGTGGGGGGAAGGGAGTTGTGGAAGGCTGTGAGAAGCAGCACGTGTGTAGTTCGTTAGATCCTTCTTTCACACATTCTGACTTGACAAGCCCCTTAAGCTGTCTATGCCTCCCAAGGAAATCTAAGTCCGAATTGCACAATTGCTGATCTGCATTGGTAGAGGGAGTTTGCTCACTGCACCAATGAAATCACACATCTGGACCAAAAGAAAAAAAGGACAATATTTGATTATCTAGTTATGAAGAAAGAGTTATGTAAATATTAAACATACAACATGTGAACTATTATTTTAAACACTTTTGTAAGGTAGGCAAATACTGTGATTTTCACCGTGTAGATAGGAAAAAGAAAGGGAGGGAGATGTTGAAGGACTTTTTTTTCTGTTTGAAAAAGAAAGTCCAGGTTTTCATATATTGGATTTTATTTAAATCACAACATGCCTTATGTAATAGGTTAAGTAGTAAAAACTGACAACATAATGGGCTGAAAATGAAAACCTCTGTTTAAAACAAGCTAATTCATAAAGTTAAACATATTTCCAGGGAGAGGAGAATTTGACTATTTCATTTTTAGGCTCCAATCTTTGACCTGAAGATAACATTGAATGACATTTGACTGATAGCAAAAAATCAGTTGCAGAGTTCTGTGGTACCTACTTAAGACTATTAGTGCCCTTGCTTTTGATGGTGGCATTCTGAGTGAAATACTGTAGAAATTTGTAAATATAATAAAGGAATGGATTTTGAACTTAACTCACTTTAAAAATCACTTAAACAATTTTCAGTAGAAAAGTTTAGAACTCTGGGAAAGGAATCCCAATATATTCCTTTTAATTTCTCCTTATTAATGGCAAAAACTGCATTACTTTTCATTTTACTTCTGCTTAACCCATATATCCCAAATGTAGCTAATACATGTATGATTTTCTTGTACTATGAAATGTGTTTAATGCTTCTACCTTGGAGAAAGTAATT